CGGCCAATTTAGTTGAAACTTCCAGTAAACCTGATGAATGCTGTGACTTTTTCTAATTGGGCTCTCCCTCTGAATCAAAATCATCGTTTCTTATCCCACAAAAGGCCCTCAGAAATACTCTGATTTACTTTCTGCCTGGACCAAGCCACCTGCACGTTTCCAATCCTCTTCCCTTATTGATTTGCAGGCGACTTCCAGGCCTGCCAAGTCTCACTCCTTTGCCAGGACTGAAATCTGCTGCATCCATATTAATTTTCTACTCTTTTTTTTTTCTTTTTTTCTGCATCTCGTTCACCTCTGGTGGAGGGTCTGGAGACCAGGGCTTTTAGACTTTGCTCGGGATTTCTGAAGACCACTTTCCTTCAAACCACTGCCACTGGGAAGCCCTGTTGTTCCCCCCCCCCGAGTTATTTAATGACCCAAAAAATGGAGATAAAAGAGCCCTCCAAGATGATGAAATCGTATCTTCTTCAGGATAAGCTTCAGCTCAGCGGTGAAGTACAGATGTGGTGGTCACCATAAGTCTTCGTGGTGAGGTCACTGTGTACCACCACACCACAAAGCATGTCTGCCATGCCCTTAACTCAATGAAGATCCTCTCCCACCTCTGCAGCTCGTGGCTGGTTTTCTGGTTGCTTTTTTCCTCCAAAAAAGAAGGAATTAAGGAGAAAAGACATGGGATGGATGTCCCAGCACAGATGTCCTGCTCTGGAAGCGTGGCAGGAGATGGGCAGTGACAGGTCATCTTCCCCGGTGCTTCCCTGCTTCAAACATCCGAGTTAAGAAGCCAGAAAACATCCGAGCACTTTTCCTTCTGGATAAAGCTTCTCCCGACATCCCAGCCTTGATGTTTCCCTCACCTGAGGGGCAGAAGATCTGGGTGAGCTTTTGGGGCAGGTTGTGTCTCCAGGTGGATTTAGTGCAGGATCGACCTGAGGAGATCCAGCTCCTCTAGCTGCTTTTTCCACGTAAAAAAAAGCATTTGTGGAAAATTCTCGGGCTTAACCCTTCCCACTGGCCTTTCCATCCTTCCTTTTGTTCTTTGGCTTTATTAAAAAATGATAATTATTTTAATTTATCTACAAAAAGGCATCTCCCAGCCTAAATTTCTCTGGGATCTGACTCAGCCGAACGCTCTCGCTGAGAAAGAAAAGCCATTTCTGAAGCAAATTCGGAATCTGGGCTCCTCTGAAGTGGTTGGGAAGGGGTTAAGGTTTATTTTTTCCTTTAGGAATGGGGGAAAAAAAAATACGTGTGGAATTTGGGGGGTTTCTCTATTAAATGTTGAGCATCCAACAGGGAGATGCTGGGATGTGTCTCAGTGCCGTCAGGTGGGAATGTTGCATCCCCTTTGCTGTATTAATAATGGGAGCATTAGAACTCCTGCTAATTGCAGCCACCTCATTAAGCCACTTTTCTTTGGGAAATAAGATGTATTTTCTTTATTTGGGGGTGTTTCACACAGAGCAGGCTCTTGGGGAGGAGTGGGGAGGCTGTGGGTACCGTGCCCCCTGCAAAGTCCCTTCCCAAAGTCTGGCTGGATGAAGGAGAGGACCATTCCCCCTCCAGGAGCATCAGGAGAGCGATGGACCAACCATCCCATCAGGCTGGAAGTTGGTCGAGAAGGGAAAACATCAATATAATCAGATTTCCCTCCAGGAATGCTTTTTATAGCCAGATGTGGAGTTTGGAAAGCTGCAAGGAAGCTCTTTTCTCCTTCACCCCATCCCTTTTGGGGCTCAGACACCCTTCCGTAGGGATGTGGGATGTGGGATGTGGGACATCTCCAGCTACTTTCCAGCTTCCCAGTTGCCTCCCAGCGAGGAAAGAAAAGCCAATTTTTAAACCTTCAGCGTTCAGGAGCGGAGGACAGGGAGAGGATTTGGGGTCAAGGACCCGATCCACCCCCATTTGAGGGGATTCCCCACCTTTAAATCCCTTCAAATCCCCCCATCCCCGTCTCGGCATCCGGATGAAACAAATTCTGTTTTTAACTTTCCCCTGGGGTGCAGCTGGAGCCACTCGATTCGGCAGCGTCTGGTGGGAAGGCTGGGTTTTATTGAAAAATATAATGGTGCCACCTGAAGCTTGATTTACTGCACTGTCCACTCCTCGGACTCGATAATATATTTCGATTAGATTCCCTTCTTTTTCCCCTTTCCCTTCTCCTTCGCCGAGAGTGGCGAGTTTCTCCGTCTGCCTTGACACCTTCTTAGGGCTTAGGCAAAATAAATGTTGATTTTCATCAGGAGGAAAGAAGGCTTGGAAGTCCTAATTCTCCAGCGAGGCTGACAAGCTCAGCAAAAGCAACCCTGGTTTTCGTTGGAGAACTCGCCATCCAGCCCCGGTTCTTCTCTTTGGATGCAGTTCAATCAGCGTAATGAAAAAAGGGGGTTTTTTTAGCCCGGCTTTCGCTAACTAGAAATTATATACCTGGTTCCTGGAAGATGGATTGCGTGGCAGAGAAATGCGGAGAAGACAAGAGAAGGAAAAAAAGGGGGGGGGGTGGGGAGAAAGGGGGGGGGAGGACGAGGGGAGGATGGAGAGATTGAAGGCGCTCGAGATGCGACCCAAGATTGATCACGCCATTTGCAGGATCTCCCATGCACAAAAAAGCGGAAAATATATTTTCCTTTAGCCCGGGGTGGGTTAAGTGACACCCCCCCTGTTATCTCCAGGGCTTTTGGGGCAAGTCAGTCCCCGGCTGCTCCCCACAGGCTGTGAAGCATCCACTGCTCCATCCTTTCCAGGGGCATCAACTCCCTCCATCCGAGGTGAGAAACGGGACCCGTTTCATCCCTTTCCAACCTATTTTGGGTTTATTTCATTTTTTTGCCTTCCTTCATCCCCGTCGTGGATGCTCCAAAAGCATCTGGGCTCCGTGCAACCCCGTACCGAAGTCAGGAAGCTAATTACGGTTGATTTAAAAATCACCTTTTTTTTTTCTTCTTCTCTTTTTTTCCTCCCTCCATAAAAAAAAATAAAATCTATATTTCTACTTCTGTAATCATATTTGCTTTGAATTGCAAAGCATGGCATTCATGCTGCTGCACAGATATTAGCTAACGAAGTTTCCTCGGGGAGGGAGGGGAATTGAGATGTTCCTACCATTCTTGTTGGACCAGGGCCGTGGTCTTTGGTGGGGCAGGAAGGAGGAGATGCTCATTTTGACCCCTTGGGGTCGATGGACCTTAATTATGGCAACCGGGGGCCGGATTTGGAAATCCCAAACTGGAAAAAAACCATCTTGGCTCAATGGGAAAGGGGATATTTGGGGTTGGCTGGAAAATTCGGGGGAGTGGTCAGAGGCTCAGTGATGGGTGTCTCCTGGATTCAGTCAAAGCTGAATTGGGCTACGTCGCCGGTGACTAATAGCCGAGTCCGTGGTGGCTGCCGTGCAGCCCTCTGATGTATGGGTGTTATATTAAGGGTGGAAAGGTGCTAAATGAGCCCTCTTTATTTTACATAAATTAGCTCAAAAGCGATGTATCACTGCCACGGCGGCTTAGACTCCCAGCAAGTTTGTTTACCCGAGTTTAAAAGGAAAGAAAAACTCTTGGTGGCTCCCCGTGGTTGGATGTTGCTTGAAGTCCTCACCCTTCCTACCTCCCCCTGCCCCAAAACCTTCTCCCTTGGGCTTTTAAGGCTGCTGGAAGGTGCCCATGGTCTCACCACCACGTTGGGCATCATGGTTTGGGAAATGTGATGCGGTGACACTGGGTTTTTGCAGAAACGTGGGCAAGTTGTGTGCTGCTCAGCCAGAAGATCTGCATCTGGCCAGGGCTTGGGCTGGATTCTCTCTGGCTCCTCCATGATCTTCTCCACCTCCTGTAATCCCAAGTGAGAGGGGACTTATCCCACTAAACCTCATCGCTCAACAAGCTGTGGGTCCCTTCGTCTGAGAAACCTCCTCCTCTTCCCATCTGTATTCATCTCAGTGTCTTCCTCTTGGCCAAGTGGCCACCACGCTCATGTCCACCCTTGGTCTGGCAGGGAAAACCCTGTAACCACCTCTCCACACCCTTCAGGGAGGGAAATAGGACAAACTCTGCAGAAAGGTGCGTCTGGTGTTGTGGTTGAAATGGAGGAGAACTTCACACCTTCCACGTTGGTCCATGAGGTGTGCCTGGACTTATCCTACAAAGAAGTCACCTCCCAGATGCACTTCACAGAGTTTTGGCTTTTATGAACATCTGGGACCCTCTTTGGGTGAGACACAGAGCTGTGTCAAGCAGAAGTAATCACCTGGAACACCTTGGGAGGATGCTGGGGGTGGTTGAAAACCAAAAAAACCTTTTACCCTGAAAATTTTTGCATCCTTTGCTGTGGCCATCTGAGCATCATCTGAGACCTGGGATGTGGGACCCGGCCAGCATCTCCTCGATGGCAGCAACTTCTCAAGAACCTGGCCTAGCACATTGGGCTTGCCCAGGTTGACTCCCCAAACCCCATCTCCTCCAACCCTGTGGCTTTCCAGGCAGCAGTGATTTATCACAGGCTTTTTATCACGGGGCAGTGAAATCCCATCAGCCAGCTCCATCCTGGCCATGGCCAAGGGGGACATCAGCTCTGGGCTCCCAGAGAGACACATCCTCACCCCAAAGGAACCAACTCTGCACCAAAAGGCTGGGGAAAGGACCACAGGGAAGCAAGACCAGGCTGAGCACCACGTTGGGGACACGTGTGTCCCCACCAGCAGGCTGGCAGGGTGGTGGAGGAGCCACAACCATCACTGCAGGCTTCAGGATGAGGCACGGGATGTAATTAGGTGGTCTCATTTATTTTTCTCCATTTGCTTGCTAATTGTTCCTTCTCTTTGGTGATACCATGACCTCTGGGACCACTTTTACTCCCTTTTCCCACTGTTGAAGCAGAAAGGTCCGGGGCTGCAGGAGCAGCAGAGGAGCTCAGGATGCTCCTGTGCCCTCTTCCAAAGGGATTTCTCTCAACCTAAGCCAACCTTGATGACTTTCTCCTCTTTTTTCCCTTTCTGCTTCCAGGCAGCACCAAATGGAGGAGGACTTTGCCACCAGCATCCTCGCGGGACTCCGAAAACACCCGTCTGGAGGAGGGTGGCAGAGGTGAGGCTGGTGGGTGCTGTCAGGGTTGGGTGCTGCTGGGGCAGAGGACCACCCACATCCTCAGTGCCCATGTCCATCTCCAGCGGGTTACCCTCTTGCTTTAGGACAAGAGGAAATTGTAGAATCATGGAATGGTTTGGGTTGGAAGGGACCTTCAAGATCATCTGGTTCCAAACCTCTGCCCTGGGTAGGGACACCTCCCACCAGACCAGGTTGCTCAAGGCCCCATCCAGCCTGGCCTTGAACCCCTCCAGGGATGGGGCAGCCACAGCTTCTCTGGGCAACCTGGGCCAGGTTCTCACCACCCTCAGAGTGAAAAATTTCCTAGTATCTCATCTAAATCTCCTCTCTTTCAGTGTAAAACCCTTCCTCCTCATCCTATGGCTCCCCTCCCCTATCTAGAGTCCCTCCCCAGCTTTCCTGAAGCCCCTTTAGGTACCAGGAGAGGTTCAGGAGGGATATCAGGAAAAATTTCTTCACCGAAAGGGTTGTGAAGCCTTGGAAGAGGCTGCCCAGGGAAGTGATGGGGTCACCATCCCTGGAGGTACTGAAAAGCCAGGCAGACATGGTGCTGAGGGACATGGGTCAGTGGTGGGTTTGTCAGTGTTGGGTTGATGGTTGGATTCAATGATCTTGAATCTATGGTTGGACTCAATGATCTTGAATCTATGGTTGGACTCTGATCTTGAATCTATGGTTGGACTCGATGATCTCAAATGACCCTTCTAACCATGAAGACTCCATGATTCTGTGAAAGTCTCTTCCAACCTTGACAATTCTATGATTCTATGATTTTTAACCCTCTGTGACCAGGCAAGGAGAAGCCCTGGGGGTGTCCAGACGTGTGTCCCCCACCTCCAACCGTCCCCTTTTCCTTTCCTCCCTCCAGGCAAACGGCTGCAGATCAAGCCCCGTCTATGAAGAAGACCCGACCCCGTTGCAGCTCAGGAACCTCAGAGCCGGGCACGACCTGGCACCTACCTCAGGACACCGTGGCCAGATGCCAGCACCCCCCTTTTCTCATCTTGCTTTTCCTGGGACATCATTTTGGCAAGGAAACCGGGTGGCAGCGTGGGCAAGTGCCACCCCTTCCCGCAGGGAAGCATTTTTGTTCAAAATGTTTTAATTTGCCAATAAAATATCTTTCCAGCTGGTTTGTTGAAGGTGATGCTGGGCCACCAGGCTCCTTGGATGCTTGAAGGACTGGGAAGAAGCTCCCATCCCCATCCGTCCTCCCGCAGATGGTGGCTCTTGCTGTTGGCCTGGACACGAGGTGACACGGGGACCTGAGGAGCTTAATCAGGCGACGTACCAGCATCCAGGTCAGCTTCTATACTGGGGACAAGTCACCGTACTGGGATATAATGGGGTGTAAAGGTCCCCCCACCACAGCTCAGCCCCGATCCCTCCATCCTGTGTCCATCCTGATCCATCCCTTTGCTTTTGGGAGGAGGTTTCTTGGAGTGGAGCCATGTGCCAAGAACATCCCTAGTGGAAAAATAGGTTGGGAGCAGCGTTGAGCTCCCACCAAATGCTCCGTTGGGATCTCCCATGGTTGGTTGCACCTTGACCCCCACCTTTCCCCATCCCAGTGGGAATTTGGTCTCCTTTGGGAGATCCAAACTGGCTTTTCTGGGGGTTTTTAGGGGGTTCCTTCCAAATCCAAGCAAAAAAATCATTGTGTTGAGCCAAGTACTGCCGGCACGATGGTTTTTTGCATCCATGGGTACAATTTCCATGGGGTTTTTGGTGGGGTGGGTACTCTTCCCCAACACAGATGGGATTTTGGGGACAGCTGCTCTTTGCCAAGAGGTGCCGAGAACCAGGAGCAGCCGTTGGGGACTGGGGGGCAGATTTTCCCATCTCCTGCCCCTCAAATCTCAGCACCTTCAGGCAAAGCCCCCGTGGGGCAGCAGGAGGGACGTGGGTGAGCCCTGGGGCTCCCCGGGGACCCGGCACCCAGGTGTCCTCAGCGGTGGGGTGGGTGACAGAGCCACCGAGCTGCCGTGGGCTCAGGTGCACGACGGGCTCTATCAAGGGATGGTTGTGATTTTGTCCCCGTGGGTCCCCCCAGGGGGTGTTCCCCTTCCTCGGGTGAGCCCCCATGGGTGCCTGCACCCCACGGAGGGGTCTTGTCACCCCTCTGCCTGGCTGGGGTGACTCGGGGCATGGCAGGCCACCAAAGGTACCATCTCATTAATGCCTGTCACCTCCTGGGCTCCCATTTAAGGATGGTGTCCTCTGCTGACCCAGCAACTTGGGGGGATGGGGGGGGGGTTAGTGCCACTCAGAAACCAGTTTGGGGGGGCCACATCCCCAGTATCCCCCTCCTCCAGCCATCACGGGGACCTGCAGGTCCCCCCTCCCACCCCGGGGGTGGCACTTGTACCCCAGCATGTGTACAGCGAGCTGGTTTTTTAAGAAAAACTTCGTCATCTCCGTTGATATTAAATGTCTTTTGTTAATTAACCCTTGTGTTTTGATATGTAAATAAAGAGTATCTTCCCCCGGGGTGCCCGGTCGGAGCGTGGCGTTGCTCTTATTTTCGGTGATTTGGTACAAACATCCCCTCAAGGAGCTGCTAATGCTGGTGGAGGGGCCACTTCGCTCCCCAAATTAGTGTTTTTAATTATAAAAACTTTTTCCCCCTCCTTTACCCAGAAAGGTTGGGGCTTTTTTTAAGGGGTGCTTCCCTAAAAAAACCAAAAAACACCCTAAATTCACTAAACTGGAGGAAATGATGATGTGTGTCCCCTCGGATGATGATGGTGGCGGGGAGCTTGGGTGCTTCCCGTGGTTGGAGCTCCCTAACGAGCAGCCTTAATGGGGATTGAGGCTCACGCTGCGCTAATTAAACGAGGCAATGAGCAGGGGCTCTGCCTCCCACCGGCGCGGGGAAGGATTGTAATTTATTGCTGTCTGTCGTTAAAGCCCTGCTCGGGGAGGGGGTGATTAATTTCCAAGGAGGGATAAACAAAGCCCCTGGAGATGTGTCACCAAGTCCTAAAGGGGTTCCTCACCCAGGACGTTGCCACCAGCCCCGACGCCTCGGTGATGGGCTTTATCCCATGAAGCTTGTGGGGGGGGGATGCTGCGGTGGTGGGTGCCTGGTTGGGGTGTTCCCAGGGCACCCCCACACCCCCCCCCCCCTCCCCCCCC